CTCATTCCCTGATGGAGGGAATGGAGACGTTATGTCGAATGACATATGGGGTCTCACTTGGGAGGCCAATCAACTCTGAGTTTAAGAGAAAACACCAATGAAAATTGGCTAGTGGATTTTGCATGCTGAGCCACTTCCCGTGCCTGCGGGTATATAAGGCAACAGCGCGCATCCACTCATTAGGTTTTACGCCGAGGAGCCGAGAACGTGTCCCGGCAACAGCGAATAGTCCAAGGTTGTGGCATGGGGACATAACGTCTCTGTTCCTTCCATTCTCCGTTCCCTCCATCAGGGAACGAGAGTTACGTACCTTCGCTCCGCCAAGTCTGACTGTCGAGGGTGCTGGAGGATGCTCGACCAGGGTTCGCCAACCGGGGAACGTGCTTGTCCAGTAGCAGCGGCCGGAACTGCCGCAAGGATAGATGCACTGCCAACAACTCCAGACAGTTGATGTGCCAAAGCAGTCGAGGTCTTGTCCAGGACCCCGAAGCTGCCTGCCCGTTGCACGTAGCGGCCCAGCCCGAATTGGAGGCATCTTTTGTGACAACGACATGCCTGGACACTTGTTCTAAGGGCACCCCGGCCCGTAAAAAAGCAAGGTCCGACCAGGGGATGAATAGGCGGTGACACATCGGTGTGATGGTGACACGATGTGTACCGTGGTGCCATGCCCATCTCGGGACTCGGGAGTGTAACCAGTGCTGAAGTGGTCTCATATGAAGCAATCCGCGCGGCGTGACTGCGGCTGCGGATGCCATATGCCCCAGGAGCCTCTGAAAATGTTTCAGTGGTACCACTGTTCTGCCTCTGAAGGAACTCAGGCAGTTCAGCACCAACTGGGAACGTTCGTTGGTGAGACGTGCCATCATACTCACCGAGTCTAACTCCATACCGAGATAAGAGATTCTCTGCACAGGGGAGAGCTTGCTCTTGTCTCGGTTGACCTGAAGCCCCAACTGACTGAGGTGCCGAAGCACAAAGTCCCTGTGATCGCACAACTCTTCTCACGACCTGGCCATAATGAGCCAGTCGTCAAGATAGTTGAGGATCCTGATGCCCACTTCCCATAGTGGGGCAAGGGCGCCCTCCGCGACTTTCGTGAAGATGCAGGGGGGACAGGGAGCCGAAGAGGAGGACCTTGTACTGCCATGCCCGACCCTCGAACGCAAACCGTAGGAACGGTCTTGTGACGAGGAAGTATCGAGACATGAAAGAACGCGTCCTTCAGGTCGATCGCTGCAAACCAATCCTGGGATTAAATGCATGTGATAATACGTTTCTGCGTCAGCATCTTGACCAGGAGCTTGTGAAGGGCCCGATTCAAGACTCGCAGATCCAAGATAGGTCGAAGGCCACCACTTTTCTTGGGTACGATGAAGTAAGGGCTGAAAAACCCCTTCCTCATCTCGGCTGGAGGGACCAGCTCGATTGCATCCGTCACCAACAGGACAGCAATCTTCTCACGCAAGACAGAGGCATCTCGGACTACCACCGAAGTCTCGAGAATGCCATAGAACTTGGGAGGTCGCCTGGCGAACTGAATCGCGTAGTCGAGTCGAACCGTCCGAATGAGCCAGCAGGACGGGTTGGGCAATGCAAGCCAGGCTCCCAAACTCCGTACGAGTGGCACCAAAGGGACAGTTGACGTACCCGCAGTGGTGCAGCGATGGGGAGTTGTGCTGGGTGGCCCAGAAGGCATCGCGTTCTGAGTCATCACAGCAAAACTCCCCGTGTCCCCGGAGGGACTGGCCAGAGACGCGTGGACAGGCATTGCATCTCCAAACCGTGACTTCTTGGCCACTGGCGATAGGGGGCGTTGTGGGTGAGAGTGAGGAAGCGGTGCGTCGCTCACTGTCAACCCACGAGCCTAGCAACCCAGAGGTAAAAGGAAACTGCTTTCTTTGACAATGTGGTTACTGCTGGCCATCGAGCCAACGGCGGAACAGAAAGAAAAAGATTCCCCGCCCGGCCCTCCTCTGGGGGAAGGACCGGTGCTGTCCCCAGCACCTCTAGAAGGCGTCGCTCACTGTCAACCCACGAGCCTAGCAACCCAGAGGTAAAAGGAAACTGCTTTCTTTGACAATGTGGTTACTGCTGGCCATCGAGCCAACGGCGGAACAGAAAGAAAAAGATTCCCCGCCCGGCCCAGAAGAGCAGTCTCCCACATCTCCGGGTTGCCCGTGTCAGGGCCGCTTCGTCATCTTCCTAGAGAATCTAGCGGCCAGATGCGACACGGGGGGCGCTGCTCTTCTGCATGGGGCTCGACACGCCGGCCTCGATGATGTCTCAGCGCGGGGCGGAGCCAGTGTGGAGGATGCAGGAGGGCGCCCACCACGACGAGCAGGCTGAGACACGGCCCGCGACGGAACGGTGACAGCTGGAGGATCACATCAGGGCAAGATGTGCTGTATGGCCTCAGTCTGCTTGTTGTACTGCTGGGCGGGCAAGATGTGCTGTATGGCCTCAGTCTGCTGTTGTACTGCCGAGAACTCCTGGGAGATGGGAGCGTCAAGAAAGCGCACTTTGTCAACGTCTCTCATCTCGATCAGGCTGAGCCAGAGATGGCACTCCTGGACCACCAGAGTAGACATTGCCTTCCCGAGGGACCGCGTCGTGACTTCCGTCGCCCAGAGGGCAAAGTCAGTCGCTGTACTCAGCTCCTGCATTAACCTCAGGCTGGTACTACCCTCGTGCATTTGTTAAGGCCTTGGCTTGGTCAGCTTGCAGGATTGCCATGGCATGCAGGACAGAGGCAGCTTGGCCCGCAGCACTGTAAGCTTTGGCAGCGAGAGCCGCCGACAGCTTATAGGCTTTGGACGGGAGATCCGGACAATTCCTCCAAGTGTCGGCGTCTTGGGGACACAGGTGCACCGCAATCGCTCTCTCCACCTGGGGAATGTCGACGCACCCCCTAGCCGCCCTGCCATCGAGGGTAGTGAGGACGGAGGAAGGAGACGAGCTGCTTCTGGCCGTAAAAGGGGCCGTCCACGATTACATCACTTCCTCATGCACCTCCGGGAAGAAAAGAAACCAGAGCAGAATGCAGTGGTGAGCCGCGCTCCGCACTGAGAAACCAATCATTCAGCCGTGAGCGCTCAGGGCTGGGCGGTGCCCAAGGGGGGCAGCCCCACCGAATCTTCATCCTCAGAGGTCAACAGCCCATCCCCCGATGCTGCAATCGACATCTGATCCCCCGGCGGCAGACCGAATGACATGCTGGGACCGCCATAAGACATCCCAGCAGAATCACCCAGCAGCCGCAGAGGACAAGCGCTGCGGAAGGGGTGAGAGGTCCGTGGGGCGTGGCCCGGCGGAGAAGCTCTCACTGTCACCCTAAATCTCCCAGAGCACTAGCCTTGTTCAATTAGCATGTTTTTGTGTTTTGCTTTGGTACCGAAAATGGTACCGAGAACCGTGGATTTTCACTGGTATTGGTACCGAATACTGACATTTTGGTACCGTGACAACACTAGTCTGCTCCTTTCCCTTTAAGAACGGAGAGACTGATGCCCAGACATGGAAGACAACGTTCGTGGCCGTTGTCAGAGGACAGGACACGACTGCATCCAGAAGGACATGGACGAAACGGCGTCTATAAAAAGACGCGAATCGTCCGTGATTTGCTCTTTTAGGAAATCTGCTCTTTTAGTTGAAGCGCCCAGGGGAATCACTGAAAGGGACACCGCTGTTTGCGCCGTACCGCCAACCAGAACAGCTTTCCGACACACAGCAGATGAATGGCTTTGTAGAGTATAACAGCTTTTCATACAACCACTCGGCTCTGAAGCAAAAATCATCAGCTGAATATTTTATTTTAGCTTATTTTATTTTATTTTTAGAAATATGTTAACACCAAACTGTATTAAAATCAGCTGAATGTTTTATTTTAGCTTATTTTATTTTATTTTAGAAATATGTTAACACCAAACTGTATTAAAATCAGCTGAATGTTGAGTCACCTGCTATGTGTAAGGCATAGAATTGAATTCACAAAGAGGTTTCGGGAAAAGAGAATCTAAGTCACTGTAAGAAGAAAAGACAAATTAAAGGCAAATGATTCATTAGTAAAATATTCAATTAGAGGCACGAGATACACAGCAGCATGCAAGCCGTGAGTGGTTTTGTTTTGAGGGAGACTCTGAGCCCTTCAACAACAAAATGCTGAAACGCCTGTTTAAATGAAAAAAATAAACTCAAACAAGCTGTGCACAATCATCAAATCGAGAAAGAACATGGAAAATGGCAAAAGATACGACCATCAGCCCGAATCCCCACGTACTACCATATTCACTCATTTCTATTAAAGCACACGGTTTAGCTACAAAAACCACTTCAGATCCAAACGCACACCAAAACTACTCTCCAAAAACAACAACAACGTCCATGCAAGCTAATCACCATCGTGTTTGAGTCTAGTGGTAGCGCTTATGAATTCTGACTTTGCTCGGCTCGTTCACTTCTTAGGTTACGTTAACCAAACGCGAGCCTGTCAGATCAGAGAGAGACAGTAACATTGAGTCACGGCTGGGAAGAGGAAGAGACAGACATAGACTTTTCAGGAGTTGCAAATAAAACGCACACAGCATCCACACAGGTAAAATGCAGACGCACACACCTCATAACCTGGCGGAAAGGGGGAGGATACAGTAATGGGGAATGATCATCCTCACTATCTCTATGACACAAAGAGAACAGCATTATGTGACACAGGGATCCATCCACAATGCACAGAAATCAACACAGAGTGTTGCATAGGGGTGGGAATCTTTAGGCACTTCACGATCCGATCCGATTCCAAAACGATTCTTGATCTACACTTTTTCCGAATTAATTCTTCTGCTGTACTGCCATCTTAAAAATAGCTAGGGGTGTGAATCTTCACTGGTTTCACGATTCAGTTACGATTATCATTATCAACTCAATATCACGAATGCGTCACATTCTCAGTTCTCAATATTACTGCACATGGCTACATTTTCATATAAATGTTATATCAAATTTAATTTGTGCAAAATGTACTTTATTTTTTATTATATAAGCAGACTACTTTTACTTTTAAAAGTAAAACAATTACTTATTTAAAATAAGTGTTCTTTAAGTATCCGAAAGTTTACAGACAATAGGCTAGTTATGGGGTTTTCTTTTTTCCTCAGCATTATTGCCATTTGATTATTATTGATGAGATCATAGACAGTGGCAGCTTTAACAGGCTGCATTTACACTAATGCACAGATCTATTTCGATATATCAGATGTTCTGTCCTGCTCTGAAAACATACCTGACTGTATTTACATCAATTTCATATAAAAGTATCCGGAGATGCACGTGCATTTATCCGCAGCCGCGAATCGCGATCGAGCTTCAGTTCCCCACCCCTAGCAACAGGTAGGAATATGATACTGTTGATCATCACTAATTTATCTTTAAAGGTGAAGCGTGTCATTTTCAACATTTTTGGTGCCAAAAATAACGGCATTTCCAGAATCTGGAAAAGATTCGAGCGAATCCGTGACGCTTTGAAAGCGATCACTGGGAATCAACCTATGAATTACTTACTTCTAATGACTCTAATGTGATACAAGGATGTTTAAAAATTACACACTACACCTTTAAAGCAAGGCAATTGCAAAACAATTAGTCTAAGATAAGATCTTTTTCGATATCATATTTTTACATAAGAGAATGTAGATAAATGAGAGAAGTCTTAAAAGATTATTTTACCCCAAAATGTAAATTTGTCTGATTAATACACATCCAAGATATGGAGGAGTTTGTTTCTTCATCAGATTTGGAGAAATGTAGCATTGCATCACTTGTTCACCAGTGGATCCTCTGCAGTGAATGGGTGCCGTCAGAATATCTTTATATTTATATATTTAACAATATATATATTTAAATTGTCTACATATTGCAAGATTTTCATTCAGTGAACTCTGGAGTGATGATGCTCTTAGCCCAGTATAAATAAATTAAATACAAGATGATTATAGCATACATTTACTATAAAAATGTAGATTCACTTTTAATGTCTTGTGAAGAGAAACACTGTGTGAAAAAAAAGAAAGAAAAGCTTTCGTCTTCACAAGTTATTAACTGATGGACTGGAGTGGTGTGGATTATTGTGATGTTTTTATCAGCTGTTTGGACTCTCATTCTGACGGCACCCATTCACTGCAGAGCAAGTGATGCAATGCTACATTACTCCAAATCTGATGAACAACCAAACTCATCTATATCTTGGATGGCCTGAGGGTGAGCACATTTTCATCAAACTTTCAATTTTGGGTGAATATTTCTTTAAAACTAATCAAAGTACAAAAACAATATACAGTCGTCAATAGTCTTGTTACACTTACCCATAAGGCCGTTGGATAAAGGTAGGGTGTATTTGAGGGACACCAAATGAAAACCCTGTGAAAAAACGCAACCTTGATGCATTTATTTATTTTTATATTTTAACAATACAAGAAAGACGCATATAATGACCAAAATTACAAAGTTTTTGAACAGTATGATTTTTTTAAAGAATTCTCTTCTGCTCACCAAGCCTGCATTTAATTGGTTGAAAACAGCGGAGTAGATTTTTTTCAGGTTTCTTTGATGAATAGAAAGTTCTGAAGAACAGCATTTATCTGAAATAGAAATCTTTTGTAACATTATAAATGTCTTTATCATCACTTTTGATCAACTTAAAGCATCCTTGCTAAATAAAAGTATTAATTTCTATAATTTCTTTCTCCCCCCCCCAAAAAAAAAAATAAATAAATAAATTATACTGACTCCAAGCTTTTCAATGGTAGAGTGTATAATGTTACAAAAATCTGTAATGATGCTGAAAATACAGCTGCGCATCACAGAAATACATTATATTTTAAAATATATTCAAATAGAAAGCAGTTATTTTAAATAGTAAAATATTTCACAATTTTTACTGCTTTGGCTGTATTTAGAGGGGTTATTATAGTTAACTAAAACCATTAAAAAAAAACATTTTCATTACTTGAAATAAAATAAAATATTTAAAATGTTTTATTTCAGCTAGTTGACAAAGCAACATTTATCATTTGAATGTAGTTTAACTTGATATATATATACTACAAAAACACAACAAAATCACACATTTTTTTTACTAAAATTACAATGAAAATGGAAAATATAAAAATAAAAAGGATTAATATTATTAATGAAACCTGTAATAGTATCTCAATGATACTAAAATAACACTGATAACGATAGACAGACAAACAATAACGATCAGGGATATTATAGCTAACTAAAACTAAAACCATAATTTAAAAAACGTTTTGTTACTTGAAATGTACTTTTAAATTTTACTTGAAACATTAACTGAAATACAATAAAAAACAATCACTAATATATGCATGTATGTATATATAAATTACTAAAAATGACTAAATCACAGAGGAAAATTACTAAAACTCTCGCTAAAATTAAAATATAAATGGAAAATATCAAAATAAAAACTGATTCAAAATAATAAAAACTATAACAGTATCTCTGATCGATGAGTATCTTTACAAAAATAACACTGATAACGACAGAGAGACAGACAGACAGACAGACAGACAGACAGATAGATAGATAGATAGATAGATAGACAGACAGACAGACAGACAGACAGACAGACAAACAGACAGATAGACAGACAGATAGACAGATAAGACAGACGGATAGACAGACAGACAGACAGATAGATACAGACAGACAGACGGATAGACAGACGGATAGACAGACAGATAGATACAGACAGACAGACAGACAGATAGACAGACAGATAGACAGACAGATAGACAGAGACAGACAGACAGACAGATAAACAGACAGATAGACAGACAGATAGATACAGACAGACAGACGGATAGACAGATAGATACAGACAGACAGACAGACAGATAGACAGATAGATACAGACAGACAGACAGACAGACAGACAGATAGATACAGACAGACAGACAGACAGACAGACAG